ATTACCAGAAAATGGACAAGAAATTTAATTTTAGAAGAAGCCAAAAACAGAGTAGAAGCAATAAGGAAAATAAGAATTACAGTAATAAATCTATATTGAGTTTTATTGAACAAAATAAATTTTAAAAACAAAAGTCCCTACACATAAACAAGAAATAAATAAAGTTAGATGGCATTATGTACCACCAAGAATCATGTTCAGCTAAACATTCTATAATCCAGTAAAATGTTTTGACCCATCACTGTTCAGAGAAATTGTGTATTTAATACTACAATTTGAGAGTATCTCTAATCCAAAAAATCCAAAATCTGAAATGCTCCAAAATTTAAAACTTTTTTTTTGTCCTTTTTCAGACCGCCGCACCGCACTCAGCCAGTGAGCGCTGTGAGTGCACCGGTCATTCCTATATAGGATCCGAACCCGTGGCGGGAGCGCTGCTGCACTCCCAGCGCCACACTCTCCCGAGTCCGCCACGGGCTCGGCCCAAAATCTAAAACTTTTTGAGCACCAACATGACGCTCAAAGAAAATGCTCATTGGAACATTTTAGATTTCAGATTTTTGGATTAGGGGTGCTCAATAGGTATGTATTCTAAAAATATTCCAAAATTCAAAAAAATTCAAAATCCTACATGCTTCTGGTCCCAAGCATTTCAGATAAGGGACGCTCAACCTGTAATAATAAAACCTTATCTTTGAACATTATAAAATGGCTTATGGATTATTAATTACAAAGCTTAGCTTTTTGTTTCTCCCACCTATCCATATGTCACATGTATACTCATCCTAAAATGTTCTTTATTTTGTCAACGTAAGTCCAAAACGTCCATTGTCCCAAATTAACCAAGTTACACATAACTGATCTTCTCCAGAGTTTTATGGTGGTATGTGTTAGAACCCGTATATAACATCATTTTTCAAAACTAACCTATTTCTAAATTCTATTTCTAACTATCCTGGCACTGCTTTATTTTCTCTCACTCTCTATACTTACATTAAATACCATAGCAACTTTAACATTAATGCACATTTAGGCAGTAATTTCTGACAAAGTTGTAGTTTATTTACCAAAAAACCAAAGTTAATTTTTATTTTAGAAATTAAGGTCAAGAATTGTCATAGTAGTAGTAGTA